GGAGGGGCGGCTGCTGCTGGAGCCCAAGTCCCCCGAGGAGAAAGGTGCCGGCAGGGCTGGGAGCAGGGCGGGATTGGGGCAGGGTCTGGGGGGGGGCACCCGGCTGGCAGGGTCTCACCATCCGTCCGTCTGTCTGTCTTTCTGCGGGGCGCAGCGCTGCTAAAGCTGAAGGTGGTGGAGGGCGAGGGCGAGGAGGATGATGACCCCCTGCGGCGCACGGGCCGGCCCTTTGGGGGGCTGATCCGGGACGTGCGGCGGCGGTACCCCAAGTACCTGAGTGACTTCAGGGACGCGCTGAACCCCCAGTGCATCGCGGCCGTCATCTTCATCTACTTCGCCGCGCTGTCGCCGGCCATCACCTTTGGAGGGCTGTTGGGTGAGTGCTGGGGGGCACGGCACTGCACAGGGGGCCGGAGCGGGGCACTGCATGGGGCACTGCAGGCGTGGGTGCTGCGTGCCGCCCCGCGCGTGCGCTGCAGGAGGGAGCGGGTAGGAGAGGAGCTGCCATCAGCTGTGACGCCGGGGATGAAGGCTGGCGGGTGTGTCTGAGCCTGTCCTGCCCGCAGGGGAGAAGACACAGGACCTGATCGGGGTGTCTGAGCTGATCATCTCCACATCGCTGCAGGGCGTGCTTTTCTGCCTGCTGGGCGCCCAGCCCCTGCTTGTCATCGGCTTCTCGGGGCCCCTGCTCGTCTTCGAGGAGGCTTTCTTCACGGTGAGGGGCAGGGCGAGCCGCCGTGGGCAGGAGCAGGGCGGCGGGACGTTCCTGGGTGCTGTGGGGCAGACATCCCCCCGGCCCCACTGCTCCCTGCCCCGCTGCCCGGGGCTCTGCCCCAGCCCTGCAGCCATCCCTCCTGCTGACACTGCCTGTCCCTCTGCCTGTCCGTCCGTCCGCGTGGCACTGGCAGTTCTGCACGTCCAACGAGCTGGAGTACCTGGTGGGGCGCGTCTGGATCGGCTTCTGGCTCATCCTCATCGTGCTGGTCATGGTGGCCTTCGAGGGCAGCTTCCTGGTGCGCTTCGTCTCCCGCTTCACCCAGGAGATCTTCTCCTTCCTCATCTCCCTCATCTTCATCTATGAGACCTTCTCCAAGCTGGCCAAGGTGAGCTGGCGGGGTGGGGGTGGGGGAGCCCGCGGGGCGGGGACAGGCAGGGCCGGGCCGGGCGGCGTGGTGCC